TCGACCGTCCAACTGTCGTGTGGATGTGTGGGAACTGTTAGACGGACACTCACTTCACCTTGCTAGTTGTGGTTAACGTCATTCTCTGTCGGCTCGAGGCGGGCAAACCACGAGGACACGGAAGAGAGGAGAATGAAATCTGCGCAGCTAGGCACAGGCGCTTATTTCATCAGTTTAAACTAACAGATACCTTTTGCATAATAGCTCAACGCACGTGCAGTCGTGGCTTCGAAAATTGCCAGCTGATGGAAGTAATTAACTCATCATTTTGGACCAGAGTCAAGTTTTACTAACTCTCTATTGCGACATTTATGGCACTCCTACCTACGTGAGATCTGAGCTGCCATCTTTAGCGAGGCCTGGTACATGTGGAACTATAGGTGAAATCCTGTATGGCACTCGTAGACAGTTTTTTTTGTCTTAAAAGTCACTACCTGCGGCGTTCGGTTGTATTGGCGCAAGCCTCTTGGGGCGTTGGTGGTTCTCGTCATTTGCCACGGTTTAACAGTTGCGCTTGCCTGTGCGTGTTTTAGATCTGTTAAATTGTTAGCTCTTTATTGTTACTGCTATTATTTTGTGCAGATTACGCTCATGGACGACAGTCTCCTCTTCATTGGTTCCTCCCTGTCTGACTCCCTCCTACTGCGTTACCGCCTCACCTCAGAGAAGCTCGGGCTTCATCCCCGTCCTCCTGGTGACACTCTTACCAATGGTACAATTTTACCACTAGCAGGCGCTGCTCCGGAGCCGAAAGTTAGTGACACTTTCAATTTCTCTCCATTTTCCTCACCTCTTGCCTTTGAAATACCCCTTATCCCCTTCTTGTAATAACTTAATTAAGAGAGTCAGACTTGATTCCACTGCATCCACTGGATCTGCCACTGAGCTGCCTTCCACCGTCACTGAAACTGACTCCTCCTCCGCAATCAATTCCTCCGCGAATCATCTCAATTTCGACGAAACTGACGTAGAACTTTACGGTCCCTCCATTCAGCACCCGACCCCTCAGTTTATGGACATCGATGTGTTTAACTTCGAGGTAAGCCCTCACTTCTCTTGCCACCCTCTCTCGCATTACATGTCTACATAAATAAAATTGTTACTAACAAGTTTTAAGCAGCAATTATAGATTACCTAAAATATGGTGTTTCAAAATTCCCTTTGTACGAGACCTAGTTGTGCCTTTATAATCGCTCTGAATGATGAAATTTTCCCCTGAGCAGGTTTTGGACTGCCTGCGAAATATTGGCCCAATGGCCAACATCACGGCTGGCGAGGTGCCCTGTCTGGCTACCGGTCAGACTGACCCGTCGGATGAGGTTCTCACCGCTGCACAGGCGGAGATGGCTCACATTGAACTAATTGCTTCAATTGCTCGACCGTTGACCTCTGATACGCCCCACTTCCAGCCAGCCAATAGCGCTGTGGGTGGAGGCATAGCTTTGTTGCACCGCAGTGTGCGAGCACACGGTCTGACGGCGTTCGAGTTGCCGGAGTACAACAGTCTCTGGTCGCTCTACGGTCCTCCAGTGGGCACTTTCGGCGAAAAGGAGAGTGTGAAGGAGGAGGAGGGTGAGGAGGAGCACGAGAAAGAGAATCACTCTCCGGTGAATGGTAGTGTTGGCAACGATGAGGCCGTTGAGGATGCTCCAACGAAAACTGACTCCCCGGACCCTAACGCCTTCTCCCATGAGGAAAAGGAAAACAAAATTGATATATTGGACACTGAAGCTGTCGGAGGTTTGTTCCCAGTTTTGTTCTCAGTTTTGCAGATGTCTTTTTTTTCACCATCACTACCGCCGTCACCACCACTATCAGCAGCATCCTTATAGAGTTCGGGTACTCTTTAGGTTTGAATTGGTTTCCTTCGTACCCTTTGCACTTCAAATCATGACTGAGAACTGTGGTTAGGCAAGTGACATGGTTCTATAGTGGGAGAGGATTAGAAAAATATAAATAGTGCACTTACAACCAAAGTTTCCAAGCTTATAAGCAGCGAGATAAAGATGGTTTACGCGGGAACAAGATTGAGAATTCAAAGAAATAATAGGGAAGTTAGGGGAAGTAAAAAGTGCTTAATTGCCTTAAAGGGGAGACGATTAACTGTAGAATAAACAGTAGGTTGCTAATTAATATATAAAGTGTCATATGAATGACTTTTCT